TGCCATACCCTTCATTTCACCTTTTGGAGTTATCTCAGTGGTGTGAGGTCAGTGCTGTGAATAGCCCCATGGCTGCTGGTGGTTGAGGGCCGTCCCACAGAACTGAGCCAGGATCCCGGGGTGCTTGGGGTTGGGGTGGAGGGGTGGGAGGGGATGCATCCGATTCACTGCAGTCCCCCCTCCCAGGAACGATGCTCGTTTCAGAGCCATTGGTCAGAGCATGCAGACACACACACAGGAGCACTGCATGGCCCCCTGTAACTTGCACACACATGCACACACATAAGCATACATGCATGCATGTACCTGCACATGCACGTACATGCAGCCACATACATGCACACGCCTGTGCACATGCATGCACCCATGCCTGCAAGCACCCTGCTCATGCATGTAAGATGCCGTAGCCTGCATGCAGCTGCACACACGTGCATGTTTGCACACAACATGCACTCTTGCACATGCATTCCCATACCTGTGTGCACACACACCCACGCACCCACATACACCATTTTTGCATCCCCCTGCTTGCCCAGCACCCAGCACACCACCCACAACCGTGCACACACAGCAGCCCTGTGTGCAAACACCCTCCCCCCCCCACTGCTGTGCGCACGGCTCCTCCTGCCCATCTCACACACACTGACTCCTGCATGCAAGCAGCAGCCTGGTGTGCACACACACCAGTGCTCACACCCCAACACCTGCACACACACACACACACACACACACTCGTGTGACAGCAGTGCACACGCCAACACCTGCACAGACCCCACACCACCTCCCCAGCCCTTTGAAAGCCCCTCAAAGCTCCCTCTGCTTTTGAACTGTTCCTCCCCCGGAAGCACGAATCAATACTCTTCACCCCCCCCCCCCTCTCCTCTTCTCTGCTCACTCCTGGGCCCTTAGCAACACATCTGCCTCCAAGTGCACATCTGCTCTGCGTTGGGGAGGGGACAGGGACCCCATAGCCCAAGGTGGGGGCTGGGGGCTCTGTCCCCTCCCAGCTAGGAGCATTGCAGCATGGCTCATGCAGCCCCCCCTGCCCACCCGTTGGGTGATGGCACCGATAGAGCTGTCCTCACATCTGGCTTTAGGGTGGGGAGCTCTTCTCCTTTCCCCCATCCCCACCCACCGTGGCAGCAGAACAAGGAGCTATTTCGGGGTGGTGAGGAAGCACCTGACCTTCCGGCGTGTGCACAGGCAGGGGCACAGTGTGCAAACAATGGTCCTTTGTTCCCCACCAGCAGCATCCTGCAGCCCCCAGCCCGACCGCGGCGCATCCCACATCATGGGGATGGGGTTGTCCTGGTGCATGCAGGGGGGACTCGGTCACGTGGAGTGGGTCAGGGCTACCCGTGGTGGCTCCCAGCTCTCTCCCCTCCTTGGCTGCCGTCCGGTGGTTCATTCAGCTGGTGGAGATGGTGATGGGAAATGCAGAGGGATGGAGCAGGGTCATAGCAGCAAGCCTGCAGCCTGCCAGGAGGAGGAAGAAGAAGAGGAGGTGGTGGCCATGTGAAGGCTGAGCTTGCACAGCACTGCCCACACCTTGGTTGCAGCAGGTGCATGCATCCCTCCTGAGGAGCTGAGCGGAACTGTGCTGTGCTGAGATGTGCTGTGCAATTCTGAGCTGTGCTGAGGTGTGCTGTGCCATTCTGTGCCATGTTGTGCCATCCTGAGCTGTGCTGTGCCATTCTGAGCTGTGCTGAGCTGTGCTGTGCCATTCTGAGCTGTGCTGTGCCAATTCTGAGCTGTGCTGAGCTGTGCTGTGCCATTCTGTGCCATGTTGTGCCATTCTGAGCTGTGCTGTGCCAATTCTGAGCTGTGCTGTGCCATCCTGCACTGTGCCATTCCCACCTGTGCTGAGCTGTGCCGTGCCATTCTATGCCATGTTGTGCCATTCTGCACTGAGCCGTGCCGTTCTGAGCTGTGCTGAGGTGTGCTGTGCCATTCTGTGCCATGTTGTGCCATTCTGGGCTGTGCTGTGCTGTTCTGAGCTGTGCTGTGCCATTCTATGCCATGCTGTGCCATACTGTGCCAAGCTGAGCTGTGTCATGCCGAGCTGTGCTATGCCATTCTGTGCTGAACCGTGCCATTCTGAGCCATGCTGAGCTGTGCTGTGCCACGCTGGCCTGAACCATGCCATTCTGAGCTGAGCCACATCATTCTGAGCTCAACCACGCCATTCTGAGCCACTCAGAGCTGTGCTGTGCCTTTTGGAGCTGTGCAAAGCTGTGTCAGGCCATGCCATGCCATTCTGAGCCATGGTAAGCTGTGCCGTGCCATTCTGAGCCATGCAGTGCCATTCCATGCCATGCCTCAGGGCAGGGAGGTGAGGAGGGGGGTTGTGAAATGAAGACCCACGTGAGGCCCTGGGGGCCACCAGCAACACAAGGGCACTGTGTGTATGGGCACTGTGGTCCCTTTGCCCTCTCTCCCCATGCTCACCCCGGCACACAGCGGATATTTCATCTTATTTGACTATAAATCAGTTTGTTGAAGCCTAGGCATTTGAAATCAAGGCTCTGGTGCCTGAGCTTGGAGCAATTAAAGGTAACGTTTTCCCAAGCAGAGCAAAGCAGCCAAGCGCATCCCGGCACGGCGGAGATGCGGGGGAGACTAAAGAGGAAATAAAAACAACAACAACAACAAATAAACTTTTATTAAGGCTTAAAAAAACCCCAAACCTGAGACGGCGGATGGACTGAGCTGCTCTCCTCCCCACCGCCTCCTCCTGTCCTGCTGGGACCTGCAGGTTTGTGTCGTAGGGCTGCTTGCTCAGGGCTGGGGCGGCTTTGTTTTTGTAGGGTTGCTCCTAAACATTGCGTTTACATCCCCCAAAGGAGTGTCGTGGGGTGGCCTCGTAATGGCTGGGCTGTGCTTTGTTGTTGTGGGTAGGGTTGGCACCTGGAGCAGTTTGTGGGAACAGAGGTGTTATTGTAGGGATGCTGCTTGGAGCTGGGGTTAAGAGTGGGGTTGGTTTTGTAGGGTGCCCCTTCAGCTCTGAGGCTCTGTGTGCTGGTTGCCATGGGGTCCCATGGCCAAAGGCAGATCCCATCCCCAGGTTGTCACCATGGCCACTGCACTTCTTCCATGGTCATGGGGCCACTGCGCTGGGGGCAATGGGGAGCAGAAGGGGATACAGGCAGGGAGCTATAGGGGGGCACAAGTGGGAGCTGTGTGACTTTAGGGTCAAGGGGATTAAGGAGGGGTGAGGACCTTTGGGGACAAGTGGGACAGTTGAAGGGACAGGAAGAAGCAGAGGGGTTGCGCCCCTTTGGGAGTAAAGGAGACAGAAGGGGATACATGGGATGTGTGTGCCTTTAGGTACAAGGGGGGGGGACGTGCCTTGGGGGGAGCTTAATGCCTGCGCAGGGGGCACATGTATGGGACAAGGGATGAGGGACACTGCGCTGCTGTGGGGTGGAGGCACTGTGGGGGGGTTCAGCCTCAGCGGAACCACACAGTTCCACCCCACAGTGGAACCCACCCCGTCCCCTCCGTGGGGTTTATTTTCGGCTCGAAACGAGACGCCTCCTAAATAGGACAACGTCCTTAATATGCAGATGGGACATATTTAATATGCAAATTGAGACAGCTCTGGCCGGCCGCCAGCGCTGGGTGTCGGTGGCACCTCACGTGCACCCAAAGGTGGGTGACAGAACTGGGGGGGGGGGAGGGGGGGGGGGGGATGACGTCCATCCTTCTGGGGGTGATGGGGTCTCAATGACCACAAGGTCTCAGAGCAGGGCAGGCAGCGGGCGGAGGGTGCTGGGGGGGGGGAGGAGGGGGCTATAGACAGCAGCTGTAAGCAGAGCCGGTAACTGGAGAGCAATCGCAGGGGGGGTGAAGAGGAGGGGGGGGGGACAGCTGAGCCGACAGGGACGTGGCCGCGGAAGCATCGAAAGGTAAATGGCCGTGGTGGTGTCACCCCCCACCCCCTCTCCTTGATGTCCTGCTGATGGTGTGGGGGGAGATATCCTCTTGGCACCCACTCGGAGGCTCTGAACGCCCCGGGGGGTGTTGTTTGCTGGGGGGGGGAGGCTGGGGGGGTGGTGTGTGGTGCCAGGTGGCGGTGGTGACATTTGCTCCATCCGCGCCGCAGGGACAGCTGCTTCCTGCCTCTGCCACCCGAACCCACCGGCCAGCAAGCAAAGCATTGGCAGGACGGAAACCTGTGGGGGTGACCCCCCCCCTTTCCTTCCCTCCCCCCCCCCCCCCCCCCCATGTGGGGCCGGTGGCCCTCATGGCTGCATGGCAGCAGCAGCTGGGCTGCACTGTAGGCACTCCAGGCACTGCACCCCATCCCCGTTTTGACCCTACAATGCAATCTGATGGGCACTGCATCGCTCAGTGCATCACTGAGAGGTGATGGGGGGAGACCCTGTGCCCCCCACCCTCCCCGTGCCAGGTTTGCACGTTGTCAGCATTTCCTTATGCCGCCGCTTGGAAGGGGTCTCATTAACATATCTAATTGCCTTCTCTCTATAGTGATTTGTGCTGATTGCTTATTGGCATTAGTTACTTTGTAAAGAAAATTACCCTAAACATCAAATAAAACCCAGCGTTAGCCATATGGAAAGGGACGCCTTGGAGACATTGAGATGACACCCCCCGGCCCCCCCTCCCCCAATATGCTTTGGGGTAATGAACCCACCGCAGTGCCACCGCCATGGGGAACCCCATATCCCAATTCTGGGATCTCCCCCACCCCCAGTGTAACTCATTGTGATGGTGGCACCCTTGGAGAGGGGACGCTCTGGATTGTGTTGGGGGGGTGGGGGGTTGGGGGGGGGACACACAACAACCCAGAGTCAAAGCGGTTCCAGTTGGTGACAGCTGCAGCGGTGCCGGCTCCGGTTACGGTGACATCAGCTCTACCTTCCCACCTGGCGTGGGGGGCTCGGGCCCTGTCCCATGGGGGTCCCATGGGGATGGGGAGGGGGGGAGGGATAGGGGGGAAGGACAGAGTGACAGCTGAGCGGCTCTCGGGCTCCAGACATGCACCCAATGCTGCAGGAGCTTCCAGGGGGACCCTTTCGCAGCGGTGGGGACAGCGGTGGCAGCGGAGCTGAGGTGGGCAGAGCGGGGGTCGCGGGGTGACCTGGTGCCGTGGTGAGGGGTTCACATTCCTGGGAGGGAAGCACTCACCACCCCCTCACACACGCATCCCAAACCAAGGGGTTGAAGGGATGCAGTCAGTGTTGTCCCTGAAGGGATGGCTGTGGGGGCATGTAGGTGCCTCCAGGGTGGGGGCAAAGCTACAGAGCTAACCCTCCCCTTTCCCCCCCTCCCTCCATGCCTGGGGTGATGCTGGAGGGGGTGGAGAAGGATGGGGTGAGCATCAGCCCCCCCCCGAGGCTGTGGGTGCGGATGGGTGGTGCCTGGCACTGAGCTTGCTATCAAATGGGGAAACTGAGGCACAGCACAGGAACAGCTCACCCACAGTAATTCGGCACCTCCAGGTCACAGCCATCCCCATTCCCCATCTCCCAGCTCCATCCCAAAGCTTCTACCGGGGACCCCAACCCCACTCCAATGTCGGGGGCACCCCCTCTCACTGCCTCAGTTTCCCCGCAGCTCCCTACAGCCGTCCTCGCTCCTCTCCCCCTTCTCCTCCTCCTCCTCCTCCATCAATGGGGCCCTGTTCTCCGCTGTGCCCCCCGCTCGCCGCCAGCCCCCTCCTCCCCGGCCCCTCTCAGCCATTGCCTTTTCTTCACCCTCACAATCGGAGGCATTTATGCAGCCGGAGGCTCGAGTTACCCCGACTGTGCTGGGCACCCGCTCACTGTCACCGCTGAGCGCCGGGGGACGGTGACACCGGAGCCCCCCAGCTGGGTTACAGTCACTGGGATCAATGGCATGGAGCTTCTGAGGGTCCCTGCACCCCAGATCCCACTGGGAAAGTGGCTGCGTGGCAACTGGAGGCTATGGGCAGTGCTGGAGGGGTGGGGGGAGATTCTCAGGTGGCTGATAGGGGTTGAGCCCTATCTGTGGGTGATGTCCCCTGCTAAATCCTCTGGTCACCAAACTCCATGGGGATGCCATGATTTGGAGATTTGTGCCCCGTTGTGAGATTTTTTTGAGTAGGGGGGGGAAGAGGGGAGTTGGGAATTGCTTTGGGAACAGCCTCCTGCAGTGACCAAAAGTCTCTGGGGGGCACAAAGGCATTGGGGAGGTTGCAGGCTGAGGCTGCATGAGAGGTCCCCAGTGGCTCCTAAAGCTGCAGGTAAATGGAGGACTCTCCTGGGGGGGGTCACCATTCAGCACAGGGGGTGAAAGCTTCCACCAGCTGCCCTGGGGGGGGAGATGGCTTTAATGATTGCAATTTAATTCTTAATGGCTTAAAAAAAAAAAAAAAAATTAAAAAATCGCCCAGGAACCCAAACACTCAAAAATTAAATATAGATAATTTCCAGGCTGGCTCCCATGGGAGGGGGTCCTGTCCTGTTGGTGATGGGGTGAAGGTGCAATGCAGCTGCCGTTGGGGACATGGGAGAGCTGTGGCTCAGAGAGCCCACAGTGTCACCATCTGCCGTCCCTGAGAGCTGTGACATCGTGGTCGGGTCCTCTGTGGTCGGTTCCTGCCCAGGGGCTGTGGCACAGCAGCGTTTTGGGTCGGGTGTCCCCAGAGCTAGGCAGGATGGAGACAGTGCCAGCTCTGAGCCGGGACACTGCACAGAGTCATGGGTTGCTGGTTCTTATCCAGTGGCTCTGTCACCACGGAGGGGATTGGGATGGGGACTGGGTCGGGTCTCAGCATTGGAACGGCTGCGGTGCCTGTGTCCCTTGTCCCCCCACAGTGTCACCCTCCCTCACTCCCTGCAGAGGAGGGCGACGGTTCGATGGCACCCGCATCCCCACTCGCTGCCCTCGCCAGATTGAGAATCAATTAAATCGCCTCCTGTTAATTACCCAGCCCTGCTCCACGCCGTGTCACCCACAGGCACACAGCGGGGATGGCACCGGTGCCTGGAACAGTGGGGGTTGGTGACAATGGTGACAGCAGGGCTGTGCTGCTGGGGTTGGGGGGGGTATGTGGGGCTGATTCCCACACCACCACTTTCCTGTTGATTATCCAAAATGGTATGATTGCATTTTGGACAGGCAGAAGGCAAGTGGCAGCTGCAGGGCTGCAGTGGGGGATCTTCCCTTCTGCGGGATGGCTGTGCTCCTCTGTCTGCATGTCCCCACGTCCCCATCTCCGTCCTGCAGCCAGGAGCCCAGGTTGCACCCAGTTTGTACCCAGTAGCTCCAATGCAGAGCAGTGCAGGCGCTGGGAACGGGCTGGAGGAGGGCGTAGGAGCTGCTTTTCCCAGCATATTTGGAATTCTTCAGCTGGGGAAGGACTCACTTCCCCCATCTCCCAGACACACCCCTGGTCTCACACCGCTGGCTGCTGGCTCTGGCCCAGCCCCAGCATCTCAGACCATCACCCTTCACATCAGGGCTCCCCCCAGCGCCCCCAGCCTCAACGAGGCACCCCATGAGCACTGGCAATGGCTTTGGGATGCAGGTAGGGGCATAGAAGGGAGGAAGGTGCTGCCCCGTCCCACCTGTTCCCTATCCGCAGGTGCTGTGGGTGCCTGCCTGCACCAGGGGAGATAATGTGGCCCCCCCTCATCCTGCTGCTCCTGCTCACGGCGGAGAGGACGGCTCACAGCACCTTCCCCGAGGAGCCCAGCCCCATCGCCGTGGCAAACGAGGACTGTGAGTGCCTGGGGAAGGGGCCAGGGGAGCACAGATTGGCGCAGAGAGGGGACGGGGCTGGGAGGCTTGGGGTGCAATGTGAGTTGGGGCTTGACTGGACATGGAGCTGTGTGTGATGCTGTGTCCGTGTCCCCCTCCTGGTGTCCCCAGATGTGAAGCACTACGCTGTGTTTGTGGGCCATGGCAGCAGCCGGCCGGGCGGCCCTGAGGGTGGTGGCACCGAACGCCTCAACATCCAACGTATCCTCAAGGTCAACAGGACCCTCTTCGTTGGAGACAGGTGTGAAACATGTGGTCCTCAACCTCTGCGCCCCAAACATATCTATGGGCCACATCGTTTGGGAAGGACCCTGCTTCCTGCCCTGGGGGCCCTCCTGGCACCTAAAAGTCTTCCCCAGCCTTTGAGTTTGGACACCCCAATCCCATAGCGGGGTGCTGTTGGACACCCCAATTCTATATGCTGGGGGTCTCTGGGCTGGCTGTGCCCCAGAGGTGTTCATTGCCCACCCCACTCCATCCCCATGGGGCAGACAGGCTGGACACACAACCCCACGCTGCAGGGCACATCTCTGAGGTGTCCTCAGGCACCCATGAGGTGGTGACATCCATGTCCTCCCCGCAGGGACAACGTCTACCGTGTGAGCCTGGAGCCCACTGCTGGCAGTGAGATGCGCTATCACCGGGTAAGGGCAGACCCCCAGGCTCTTGTGGGGCACTGGGGGGGGGTCTTTCCTGGCCCAATGTTGGATTTTCTGCCCCCACAGAAGCTGACTTGGAGGTCGAACCAACACGACATCAGCATCTGCCGGATGAAGGGGAAACACGAGGTATGGGGGGGGTCCATGCAAGCTCTGTGAGCCCCCCTCACCCTCCTGCATCCCACGTCACGTGTCACCGTCCCCCAGTGTCACCCTGTGCCTCTCGGCTCCCTGCCAACGCTTGTGTCAACTGTGATTTATTGGACGCTGGTATAATTGGGTTTGTAATTAATTATTTCTGGCCCGTTGATCAGAACAGACACATCTCATAATCTGCGAGAAATCCAATTTCCAGGTCCCGTTCGTGTCCCCTGGGGCTGCCCCCCTCACCCCCCCAGCCCAGCCTCTTGTGGTGAGGGGGGCAGAGGAGACCACTCACCCCGCCTTTCCCTGGGGCTGTTTTTGGGGCTGGTGCTGGGGAGTGGATGCAGAGGCTCACGGCCCCTTCTCACTGGCACAGGCAGAGTGCCGAAACTTCATCAAGGTGATGCTGGTACGGAACCAGAACCTGCTCTTCGTGTGTGGCACCAATGCCTTCAACCCCATCTGTGCCAACTACAGCGTGAGTCCCCTGCTGCTGGGATGGGGCTGGCGGGTGTCAACAGGGACAGGAGCTCTGAGGAGGAGAGCATTCCCCTTTGGGGGTTTCCTGCTCGTCAGGAGGGTGATGCCACCATCCAGACCCTGCGTTCTGGCATGGCACCCCCTGGCCATACTGACAGCCCTGTGTTGCCCTCTGCAGATGGACACTCTGGAGCCCGTTGGGGACAATATCAGCGGCATGGCACGGTGTCCCTACGACCCCAAGCACGCCAACGTGGCACTGTTCACAGGTCAGTGCTGTCACAGTGGGGACCACCGGTTGGGCACTGCTCCTCCCGGTGCTCTCTGTGTGCTGTCTCCATCCACATCCCCATGCTTGTGTCTCCCGTGCAGGGGGGATGCTCTTCACAGCCACAGTGACAGATTTCCTGGCCATCGACGCCGTCATCTATCGCAGCCTGGGTGACAGCCCGACCCTGCGCACGGTTAAACACGACTCCAAGTGGTTCAAAGGTGCTTCCAGCGTGGCGTGCGTGGCACCGCTCCCTGTCCCCTTCTGCTCTGTCCTGGGGTAGCCCTGACCCCGTTGTTGTCCCTGCAGAGCCCTACTTTGTGCACGCGGTGGAGTGGAGGAGCCACGTCTACTTCTTCTTCCGGGAGATCGCTATGGAGTTCAACTACCTGGAGAAGGTTGGAGAGGTCCCTGCGGTGACCCGAGCCTAGGGGGGCACTTGGGGTGGGGGCTGTGCCTTTGTCCCCTGCTGGGTGGTGACGGGCATCCCTTGCAGGTGGTGGTATCCCGAGTGGCTCGGGTGTGCAAGAACGACATGGGGGGGTCACAGAGAGTGCTGGAGAAGCAGTGGACATCCTTCCTCAAGGCTCGGCTCAACTGCTCCGTGCCGGGTGATTCACACTTCTACTTCAACGTCATCCATGCTGTGACGGATATCCTGGAGCTCAACGGGCGCCCCGTGGTGCTCGCCGTCTTCTCTACGCCCACCAACAGGTTGGCCCCACAGAACCGAGCTGAGGTGTGCCCAGTAGGGTTGGGAATGTGGGTGTGGGTTGTGGTGTTCATCCCACACTGCATCTCCCCAGCATCCCCGGCTCGGCTGTGTGTGCCTTTGACATGACCCAAGTGGCTGCTGTCTTCGAGGGGCGTTTCAGAGAGCAGAAATCGCCAGAGTCCATCTGGACAGCTGTACCTGAGGACATGGTGCCAAAGCCCCGGTGAGAGAATGACCCATAGGGACAGCAGGGATGGTGGCAGGGGAAAGCCGGGTGGGTGGTGGCAGGAAGGGGGTTGGGGATGGAGGTGGGGAGGCGGGTAGGGATGGAAGTGACCAAGGTTGGTGGTAGGGATCAGAATGCGAGTATTGGAGGAGTTGGGAGGGACCTTCGGATGTCCTCCAGTGGGAATGGGGATGTCAGGAAGTGGCACGGGGAAAGAGATTGGAATGGTGACACCAGAGCCAGTATCAGCAGAGCTGGAGACAAGACTGGGACAGAAATGGGACGGGGCTCAGCCGTGGCAGTGCTGAGCTTTGCCATGCTGTGGTGTCAGACCCGGGTGCTGTGCGGCCCCGGGGATGCGCTACAACTCCTCCAGCACCTTCCCCGATGAGATCCTCACCTTTGTGAAGACGCATCCTCTGATGGATGAAGCGGTGCCGTCCCTGGGCAACGCGCCCTGGATTGTCCGCACCATGAGTCGGTGAGTGTGGGGGTAGGATGGAGCCTGGAGAGGCTGCAGAGGGGCCCCCAGCACGAAGCAGTGCAGGAGATTGGCTGCTTTTGGGATGCACGTGTGTAGGTGCATGCACAGCCTGCTTGCAGCTGTGCCCATCCGTGTGCATGGCTTGTACTGCTGTGCCTCAGCACGTCGCTGCCTCCAGCACTGCCCCTGCATGGGAGAGCGCCATGAGACCTGATAAATGTCATAAACTTTGCAGCTGAGATTGTCTCATCCTAATTAAATCTGTCTTAATTGCTGTTTAATGGGGAATTAATCAAGCTGCGCTCTCGGACCACAGCCTTCAGCCAGCAGGACAGCATGCAGGGCTGGAGATGGGGCTGTGGGGATGGGGACAGGGACACAGGGATGGGGACTGGCATATGGAGCAAGGGCTGGGGATCAGCTGGGGATCTGCAGGGGGACCAGGGCTGGATCCCAGGGCTGGGAACTACTAGCTGCAACTAGAAGGGAATCCAGGCAGGATCTTAAGTGGGCTCTGGAATGGGTTTTACTGCATCATGATGGGGATCCGTGCCCAGTCTGCCTGGGATCTGAACTAGTTTCCATGTAGGATCTTTGCTTTCCCCTGCATTCTGTGCTCGTCCACGTCCTGGGGTTCAGCTCCCAGCCTGCCTCTGTTTCTCCTCCTGAGAACACTGCTGGCCCCAACACCCTGCTCTGCTCATGCTATGCAGGTACCAGCTCCGCAAGATTGTGGTGGACAATGCAGCAGGACCATGGGGCAACCACACCGTGGTCTTCCTGGGCTCCAGCACAGGCACCATCCTCAAGTTCCTCATCCATCCTAATGCCACCAGCAGCCCGGCACCTGCACCCCCCGGCAGCCAAAGTGTCTTCCTGGAGGAGTTTGAGACCTACCAGCCTGGGAGGTGGGCTGGGGTGGGGAGAGAGGGGTGAGCGGGTGGGTGGGTGGGTGAGCAGGGGATGGGTGGGTGGGTGGATGGACGGATGGATGGATGGATGAATGGATGGATGGATGGATGGATGGATGGATGGATGGATGGATGGATAGATGGACGGATGGATGGATGGATGAATGGATGGATGGATGGACGGATGGATGGATAGATGGATGGACGGATGGACAGACGGACAAATGGATGGATGGACGGATGGATGGATGGACGGATGGATGGATGGATGGATGGACAGACGGACAGATGGATGGATGGATGGATGGATGGACGGATGGACAGACGGACAGATGGATGGATGGATGGATGGATGTGTGGTTGGATGGATGGAAGGAACGAGTAGATCAGAAAGATGCAAGGTTAGATGCGTGGTGGGATCAATGGGTTGGATGTGTGAATGAGACAGGGGCAACGGATGAGCCCCCTTCTCTGGATCAGCCTGCAGCAGGGCAGGTGGGGACAGGAGCTGGGGCTGCACTGAGCTCTGCTCTCATCCCCAGATGTGGCCGGGACACAGAGGATGAGCGGAGACTCCTGGGTCTGGAGCTGGACAAGGCAGCTGGGTCCCTGCTGCTGGCCTTCCCCCCCTGTGTGGCCAGGGTGCCCGTGGCTCGCTGCCAGCAGCACTCAGGCTGCATGAAGTGAGTGCCGAGAGGGCAGGGCTTGCGGGAGGGATTGTAGAAGGAGAGAGGGTTTGCCATGAATTTGCTCTACGCTGGAGTTGAGTTGTGAATGTTTTGGCATGGCCAGGAGCACCGATGGGGAAAACTGAGGCACGGTGCTGGGCCAGGGTCCCTTTTGAGGGCTGGGGGTTTTCTGATCTCTCTGCTCCCTACCAGGAGCTGCCTTGGGAGCCGGGACCCGTACTGTGGCTGGACATCTGAGGGCTCCTGTGTCTTCCTGGAGCCCAGCCCCAGGTAATGTTGACTGGGCTGGATGGACTCTCTGGGGCGACATCAGGGTCCTGGGGTCTCCCCTGGACCTTTGAACTTTGAGCCACATCAGTTCCTCACCACTAAGCCCCAACAAACTCATCACCAGCTACAGCAGGTTGGGAGGCTGTCGGAGGCCAGCTGACCCTTTCTTTTTTGCATTCCCCCACAGGACATCTTTCGAACAGGACATCTCTGGTGGCAGCACATCGCATCTGGGCGAGTGCGAGGGTGAGTGTGGGACAGGGACGGCACACGGGGACGTGTGGCACATCACAGCTGGCCCCTGAGCCCCCTTACCCTCACCCAGGGCTGGTGACAGAGAGCTTCGTGGACGAGCCGGACGGGCTGGTATCGGTCAACCTGCTGGTCATCTCCTCGGTGGCCGCCTTCGTCATCGGCGCCGTTATCTCCGGCTTCAGCGTGTGTTGGTTCATCGGCCACCGGGATCGCAAGGAGCTGGCGAGGCGCAAGGACAAGGAGACCATCCTGGCACACAGCGAGTCGGTGGTGAGCGTCAGCCGGTTGGGAGAGCGGCGAGCGCGTGGCGGGCAGCCCGGAGCGCTGCTGGCCCCGCTGATGCCCAACGGCTGGCCCAAGGAGCTGGGCAAGGCGAGCCAACACGACCTGGACTCGGGCGTCCTGCCTACACCGGAGCAAACCCCGCTGCAGCAGAAGCGTTGCCCCGGTGCCCTCCAGAACTGCACCTGGGAGCAGAGTCACAACATCATCAACGCCGCGCTGCGGGACCCTGGTGCCAGCGGCACGCGGCTGCACGCCGGCGCCGGCCGCTCCGCCCGCGGCATTCCCCTCTCCTGCCACGCCATCCTGGTGGATCAGGAGCTGGAGGCCGAACTCAGCGACTCCTCGGGTGACGGGCACTGGGGTCGGGATCACCACGAGGGTCCCCGCACCCGACAGCACCCCCCCGCCGGTGCCCGCCGTCCTCCCCGCAGCTCCTATGGCGACTTTGGGGGCACCCCGCGCCCCAGCCCTGACCGTCGGCGCGTGGTTTCGGCGCCTGGTGGGGAAGGGGGGGACTTTGTGGAGGGGCCGCCGTGGCGCCCCGAGCAGCTGAACTTCAATGCCAACAACGGCACCCAACGCCCCGGTGCCCACCTCAAGAGGAACCACACATTTAACAGCGGCGAAGCGCCGGCAGGCGGCTATGGGCAGCACGGCACGGCACCACGGGCACCCGGTGCGGGACCCCCCCGGGCACTCACGGACCTGCACCACCTCCTGCGCTATGGCATGGAGCGGACTCCCTCGGGCAAATAGAAGCTCGCTGCCAGGCTCCTGCACTCAGGCGCTGCCACCGTGGACGTTTTCCTCCGCCGTGCCGTGGCACGGTGCCCCAGCTCTGGGGGGATGGGGCTGAGATGCTGCATGGGGGATTGGCAGCCCCTGGGTTCCCATGGGAAGGGTTTGAGGTTTTTCCTTCCTGCCCCCGGAGCTGCACAGAGTCCCTGCTGTCCCCGGCTGGCACGGGGCAGTGCCCCATGCTCCGGCTGCTTTGCACAGGCTCTGAGTGTCTGTCTGCCCTGTCCCTTCCCCAGGCTGGTCCCAGGGACTGCTGCGCCTTGGGCGGGACTCCCTGGGAGGCAGCAGGATGGACACACAGACATGGGCACAGCTGGCGCAGAGCAAAGCAGTGCCCTTTGCCCAGAGCCCCTCAGTCCCATCAGCCGTGCCTCGGCATCTTTAGGTGCGTGCCAGCACCCTGGAAACACCCAGCCAGACAGCACCCAGCAGAGGATGCCATCAGGTTGCATCGTCTGCCAAGGACTGGGCAAAACCTCCACTACCCTCACCTGGTACCAGCGGTGAGCTGTCATCTGTCCCCTTACACCTCCGCTCCCACCGAGATCCCAGCATTCCATTCCCCTCTCCTTGAAAGCACAGCTGGGCGCTGGGATGCAGGAGGCTGGGGGATCCCATCAGACCCACTCTCTGCTGGCAAAGGGTGCCCTTTCGGTGCCACCCAGTTGCAGGTGGCACGAGGGACAGTAGGGCTCTGCAGGACCGCAGGGCTGGGTGCAGGGATGTGGGCGCTGCAGGTGCTCTGCCCCCTGACTGCAGGGTGGAGGGCAATTGGTCCCATGCTGTAAATAGGGTGCCGGGGCACCGCGGGCACCCCATCGCCCCGGGGCCGTTCATGCATGCGACAGCGGTAACGTCTCTGTATAACCCCGGAGCCCCGCAATAAACTTCTGTTTACAAGAGGTGAATTCCTCCCCACCGCTGCCTCTGATGCTGTGCCATGAGGAAAGGCAAAGCGGTCCCTGCTTCAGCAGAGCCTGTGGGGCACAGAGGTGGGGGGACAGCAGGCTGGAGGAGGCTGTGGGGCAGGGGAGCATGTGGGGCTTTGTGCTGTGCCACCATGCAGAGCCCCACTGCGTGCACAAATCTGTGCATTCACACCTTCATTTGGGCACCCACCGCTCCCCTGCAGCCTCGTGGAAGGGGAGAGCTCAGTGCTGTGCCACCCTTGCACCCAGAGCCTCAGTGTGGGGCCATGGGGATGAGGAGCATCCAGCCCCTGCCTTGGGTGCTGGCACTTCCTTGAGCTGCAGTGATTGCGAAGGCGATGGTTTCCCAATCGAGCGGACGTGAGGCCAAACCAGCAGCGTGGTGACGAAGGAGGAAGGAGCGTCCCCAGGGAGCTGAGTTGGCTGCAAGAGGAGGTGAGGAGGGGGCTGGGAGTCCCTGGGCCAGAATGAGGAGGGAGATACAGGGGCTGCAGCCCATCCGCCGCCCAGGGGGGGCACACAGGGGTGGTGGTGGGAACAGCACAGGGCACAACGCCTGGGGTGACATTAAGCTGCCTGCCCACAGCACCAGCACTATGGCACTGCTGGGTCACATCCTGCCACCACCACCTCCTCTGCTGCTGCTGCTGCTGCTGCCATACAGCCGTGCTGCACCATGCCACCCACAGCCCAACACCACGCACTTCATCTGCACGGATCCCACTCTCAGCACTTTCCCCTCCGGACTTCCCCCTACCACCGTGGCCATCTCAGTGGAGTTCACTGCTGTGACCACCATATCCCCCAATGCGCTGGCCGGGCTGCCCCATCTGCAGGAGCTGCACCTCTCCTCCAACCGCCTGGCTGTGCTTCCAGAGGCCCTGCTGCAACCCGTACCCACCCTGTGCATCCTCGACCTGACCGACAACCTCCTGCCCGACCTCCCTGCTGGCATTTTCCATCACTCCATCCACCTGCGGCACCTGGTGCTGCAAGGGAACCTCCTGCAGGCACTGCAGCCAGCCTGGTTCGTGCACCTGACCCAGCTGCATTGGCTCAACCTGGCAGGCAATGCTCTGCTCGAGGTGCCCCCTGCTGCCCTCCGCCCGCTGCGCTCCCTGCGCAGCCTGGACCTGGCACACAATCGCCTGCATCACCTCCATGCTGATACATTCATGGGGTTGCAGACGCTTGAGAGGCTCGACCTGGAAGGCAACCAGCTCCGTGCACTGCCGCCAGCCCTCTTCATGCCCACCCCTGCTCTGCGCCTGCTCTTCCTGCAGAGCAACACCCTGCAGGTGCTGCCCGATGGCATTTTCTCCCCTCTGCTCCATCTCCGTGTCCTCGATCTGGCACACAACCATCTGCAGGCTCTGCAGCTGCCCCCACGCTCCCCTGGCCCCCCACTGTCCCTCGACATCTCAGGGAACCCCTGGGTCTGTGAGTGCTCACTGCTGGCACTGCTGCAGGATGCAGCCCCGCAGCTCTCTGCTGCCCATGACACACGCTGTGCCAGCCCTGCACAGCACCGGGGGCAGGAGGTGGCTGCTGTGAGCCAGGCTGGCTGTGATCACGGAGGGAACAAACAGAGTCCCCTGGATCACTAAGGAAGGGGTTCAGCACCGTGTCCCCACCCCTCCAACCCTCCCAGGGAAATTGAGGCAATGAGAACAGGGCTGTCCCCATCCCAGCGATTCCCATCCCCATCCTACCCCTCCATCCCAAAGCCTCACCCCGCCTGGTTCACACCATCCCCTGTCCCATCTCTCTGTCCCCATCCTTACAAAAAACCGCATTAAATGGATTCTCCTCGTTCTGCTGTGCTGCCACCTGCGCTGTCCTGTGAAGTTCGTGAATGAAAGGCGGTGATGGCTGCCATGTCCTCTGGCCAAGTCCATCCCATCCCCTCCATGTTCCATGCCCCCTGCCTGCTCCCATCCAGGCCAGCCCGATCCCCTGGGGTGACCCTCCTGGACAACACAACGTCCCCGAGTTCCCCATCATCTCCCCCAGGTGACACTGAGCCCTGGGGACAGACAGAGGGGTCACGGGGTGCTGTCACGGGGAGGCGTGACATGGGGACACTCGGTGCAGGGTCACTCGCTATGGGGACAATTGACACTTGGACGCACACAGCAAAGGGACACTCAATATGGGGACAAACGGGGAGGAGTGCCGGAGGGGGGGGACACCAGGGAGGCACAGGGCCACCTGTTGTGGGACATCCTGCTCGGGGACACCTGGAAGGGGACACCTGGCACGGGGTTACTGGGTAGGGGGACAACGGCCATAAGTCCCCTCGTGGCCGTATCCCCTCAACCCTCCCAAAGTCCCGCCCCTCCCTCCCGATTGGCCGCGGAGCGCCCCACCCCTTCGCTGATTGGCTCCCGCCTCTCTATGAACGCGACGCTGGGCGGGGACGAGGAGGGGGGGTTACGATCGCGACCGGGAATCTCGATCGTGACCGGAGGTGGAGATATCCCACCCCCCCCCCTCCCCGCAGTGAGTACGAAGCTGGGGTTTTGCAACAGCAGGAGAGCGGGACGGGGGTTCCGGGGGTCCGAGGATGGGGGCGGCGGGGGCACTGCAATGTCCCATAGGACCCATAAGAGTCCCCGGCGGGGACATCTCCCCCCCCACCCCCCCTCCAACGCCCCCTAGAGGACGGAGGGAGTCCTGCACCCCCCAACCCCCTCCCCAAGGACCCCCTTCCGCAGGGATCCAGCCCCTCTTCCATCCCTCGAGACCCAACCCCACTGCGTCCTGGTGGGGTGGGAGGTGAGCCTCAGCACGGAACCCCATCCAATCCCCCATCCACCCCCCTAAAATCCCCATCCCCAGAGGTTCAGTGGCCTCCCGGTGCTTTCCACTCGTGCCATGAGTTTGCAGTGCTCAGCACCACGTGTCCTTTCTCTCTCCACCGCAGCGATGTCAGCCAACAACGCGGCGCCAGCACGAAAAGAGCTGCAGGTAGAGCCATGGGGAGGGTCCATGGGCTGGGGGCACTGCGGGGTCCCACCTCACTGTTCCCCATTGCCACCCTACAGCAGAGCGCAGTGGGGCGGGTGGCCAGCCTGCCCCTGGTGAGCTCTGCCTGCGGCATCGTGTCCAGTGCCTACAGCTCCACCAAGAAGAACCACCCCTACATCTGCTCTGTGTGTGATGCTGCTGAGAAGGGGGTGAGGACTCTGACAGCAGTGGCGGTCAGTGGGGCGCAGCCCATCCTCACCAAGTTGGAGCCTCAGCGTGAGTGGGGCACCCCGCAAGTCTGGGGATGGGGAGTGTTATGGGGTTCCACATCTGATTTTTTTTTGGGGGGGGGCTTTTAGTATCCACTGCTAACGAATACGCGTGCAGAGGGCTGGATAAGCTGGAGGAGAAGCTGCCCATCTTGCAGCAGCCCACTGAGAAGGTAATGTCCCTATAGGGCAGGGCAGCCTTGGGTGCACTGCTGGGACAAACTGCTCCGTTCTGTGCCCTCCAGGTGGTGGCAGGGACCAGAGAGTTGGTGTTGTGCACAGTGATGGGTGTGCGGGAAGCAGTGAGCAGTGCTGTGGGAATGGCCTATGGGGCCGTGCAGGGCAGAGTGGAGAGGACACAGAGGATGCTGAGCTGCAGCGTCGACACCGTTGTGGGCACCCGTCTGGGTCAGCTGCTGGCAAACGGGACCGAGACAATGCTGGAGAAGTCGGAGGAGCTGGTGGAGCATTACCTGCCTGGGATGGACGAGGGGCCGGGTGAGTGCCCACCGCCCTGTGCTGAGCCATCTCCTTCTTTTTACGGGGTGTAACCCCCTGTTGGGACTGAACCCCATCCCCAGGGCTCAGCGTTGCTCTGGTACCGTGGGCTCTGGGTGCCACGATGGGGGGTGGGCACTGAAAGTCCCCACCTGCAGAGCAGGTGGAGCCTGCAGAATGATGCACCCATGGAGGACAAGCAAGTAGGGGAGGGCTGCTCCTCAGCAGGGTGTAAGGCAATGGGGTCGGGGCTGTGCCCCAGCAGCGCTGCCTTCTTGCTGCTTTCCAGCCCTCTGCCAGGGCAGCGCTGAGCCACCGTAACCCAGAGGATGTTCCCTGCATGGGGAAACATGTAGAGCAGCAGTGGGTGAACTCTCACCTGGAAAGCAGAGAGCAAATATAGCTCTGTGTGCCACCAGCCTGCACGAGCTGAGTATTTATAGCTCAGCACAGGGCAGTGGTGGGCAGAGCTGGCACTGTGTCACCGCAGAGGTGACCGCAGGGGCGGAGGGGACACCTCCAATGACTGGGAGCCAAACACCCTGCGCTGTGACACGGAGCTCAGGGCACATCCTTGGGGATGCTCTGCACCCTGTGCAGCTCTCACCATCGCTCTGCAGCAGATGGCACCGAGGTGACCTCAAGGGAGCAGCGGCGGAGGCGGCAGAGCTGCATGGTGCGCGTGGGCTCACTTTCAGCCAAGCTGAAGCACCGCGCGCTGCGACGGTCCCTGGGCGAGCTGCAGTGGGCCCAGCACAGTGCACAGCAAGCCCTCAGCAGCCTGCACCGCATCATCGAGCTGGTAAGGCTGCAGCCATCCCCAAATCCCCAACTGGATCGCAGCGGTGCACTCTTGGTGTTTTCCATCCGTTAGATCCAGCAGGGCCGGCACGGCGTGGACGGATCATTGCACAGCGCCCGGCAGCATCTGCACCACATGTGGCTGGAGTGGAGCCTGCAGGATGATGCACCCATGGAGGACAAGCAAGTAGGGGAGGGCCGCTCCTCAGCAGGGTGTAAGGCAATGGGGTCGGGGCTGTGCCCCAGCAGCGCTGCCTTCTTGCTGCTTTCCAGGTGGAGATGAGGACCATGGCCATGCTGCGAGGGCTCCTGAAGCAGCTGCAGGCTGCCTGCGCCCATCTCCCCATCCGAGGGCTGCCGAGCGGCGTGCAGGACACGGTGGGGCACGTGAGGCACGGCGTGGAAGGGTTGCACAGCTCCCTGTCCCGTGCTTGTTCCTTC